CTGCAGGGAACTCTCCTGAACCCTCCCCATCCAGCTGGGCTCAGTGTCTGTTCTATGTCCCCATAGCCTCCGTGTTCCCCCCATCCCAGTAGATATCTCACTGAAATGCCATCAACCTGGCTATGTTCCCCTGACTAGACTGTGTGCTCCCTAAGGGCAGAGCCCCATCTGATCATTGCTGCACCTCTAGCAGCCAGCCTGACAAAGAGATAATGATCCAAAAAAAAATTTTTTTTAGAATAAATGGTATGTGTTACATTTTTTTTTAAAGATTTTATTTATTTATTTGAGAGAGAGAGAATGAGAGACAGAGAGCAGGAGAGGGAGGCGGCTCAGAGGGAGAAGCAGACTCCCCGTCGAGCAGGGAGCCCGATGCGGGACTCGATCCCGGGACTCCAGGATCATGACCTGAGCCGAAGGCAGACGCTTAACCATCTGAGCCACCCAGGCGCCCCTGTGTTACATTTTTTTAAAAAAAGATTTTATTTATTTATTTGACAGAGAGATAGCAAGAGCAGGAACAAACGCACGGGGAGAGGGAGAAGCAGGCTTCCCGTCAAGCTGGGAACCCGACATGGGACTTGATCCCAGGACCCTGGGATCATGACCTGAGCCACAGGCAGACGTTTAACGACTGAGCCACCCAGGCGCCCAATGATCAAATTTTTTTTAAAAAAGATTTTATTTATTTACTTGGGGGTGGGGGGCACAAGGGAGGGGGAGGGGCACAGGGAGAAACAGAGCCTGAAGCTGATGATCCTAGGACTCTGGGATCATGACCTGAGCCAAAAGGCAGATGCTTAACCGACTGAGCCACCCAGGTGCCCCTCAGATTTGTTGAATGAGAGAAGGAAAGGAAAGGAAGGAAGGAAGGAAGGAAGGAAGGAAGGAAGGAAGGAAGGAAGGAAGGGGAAAGGGTTTCTACATTCTCAACAAGCTCTACCCTTGCATTATTTTTCAATTAAAATGAACATTTATTGACTGTCTTTTTTTTTTAATTTTTTATTTATTCATTTGAGACACAGAGATACAGAGAGAGAGAGAACATGAGCAGGGAGAGAGGCAGAGGGAGAGGGAGAAGCAGGCTCCCCGCTGAGCCAGGAGCCTGATGTGGGGCTTGATCCCAGGACCCTGGGATCATGACCTGAGCCGAAGGCAGACGCTTAACCATCTGAGCCACCCAGGCGCCCCAACATTTATTGACTGTCTTATGGGGTCAGGCACTCTAACTTGAGGTGATTCTAATGATAAGCAAAACTGATCTAGGGAGAGAGACTATTGAACAACTAAAAAATACATATGTATCTATAACTTGTGGGAAGTGCCATAGAGAATAGGAACAGGGGACAGATCAGAATAGCTGGGAGGTGAAGGATGACTTTGGAGTGGGTCAGATCCATGTTTGAATTCTTTCTTGGCCACTCATCTGCTGTGTGGCCTTGGACAAACCTCTTCACTTCTCTGGGCGTTGGTTTCTTATTAGGAAGAAAAGGCTGCTGACGCCTGTCTCTTGAGGATGCTGTGAGGATATAGAGAACATTCATCCATTCACTAAATATGGGTTGAGTATCTCCTATTCAGAGAAACGATTTGCCCAAATGGACAATCTGTGTGCGATTTGAACTCAGGTCTGGCTGGGTCTCTGGATCTGGCTGATGATGGGGATGGGGGCCAAGTTCTGGTCTTGTTCCCCTTGATTTGTCCCCCAGAAGTTAGGAGCAGTGATCTGCCTGATGTAGGCAACATGCCTGTCAATCGACCCACAGTGATGGGGGTGGGGGGCTTCTGCACAGAGAAGGACCCAAGGTTTGATGACACAAAGGAGACCATTCAAAGAAAGGACACCATTTAGCAGGGCATTTCTCCTTGCTGGGGGGCAATCTGGAAACTCCTGAGCCTCCATTATCCCCATGGAGCCCCTCTGACTCCTTGAGCCCCCATCCCCCTTGCTGATCCTCCCTTCTCCCTCTGTGAGCCTCTTCCAGCACCAGCTCGGCCACTAGTTCTCTCCCCGCTTACTGAGTCCATCATGTTCACTGAACCCTTCTTCTTGCCCTCACGGAGCCCCCCCCCCCCTGCCTCCTCCACTGAGCCCTGTCACTGAACACCCTCCTCCTCACTCCTTTCAAGTCCTCCTCCCTCTTCCTCATGAGCCTGGCACACCGTCATGGACCACTCCCCTCTCTGAGCCCCATCTGAGCTGCCTCTCAGGAACCAAGCTTTCTCACCCACTCACTCAGTCTAAGGCACCTGAAAGTACTAAGAGAACATGGGAGGAGAGGGAGGGGCCTCCACCGTCCTCCTCCTCCACACAAAGTCCTCCTCCTCAACATCAAGTGAGTGCAGCTTCCCCATCAGCCTCCTCTTCAGGCTGGGGCAATAGTCACACCGGCTACACCTTTTTGGCAGGCCCTTCTGAGTCTAAGGTTTGCTGGGGTTCTTCCCAATCAGTCTCAGAACTGGTTTCTGGCCCTCCAGCCCCCGCCCCCGCCCACAACAGACACCTCCCATCTCTCCTGGCACCTTCAAGTGGATGGAAACTGAGGCAAGGCCATGGTGTCTGGGCCAGTGTTTGGAGGTGGTAGGTCACTTCTACTTCAGGGAAAAATGGGCAGGGCTCAGTCCTATCGTTTTGCCAGGATGACTGAAGTCCCATTTAAGGAGGGTCCCTCAGTGATGGGAGACCCAGGTATCTGAGCTCCCAGAGGCATGAATGGTCCAGCTGGTCCCATTCAGTGGTCCAGATTCAGCCACTGACCTGCAGTGTGACCTTGAGCAAGGCACCACTATACCTTCTGGGTCTGTTTCCCCCTCTGTTTCTAGATGTGGGGATACCTACCTACTGGGAGGAGCAAACAGGAGCAAGGACACAGAAAGAATTTTGCACACGGTGGGGTCTTGGGCTCCTTTGCGAAAGCCGCGCCAGGCTCAGCGGCTGCGCTGTGGTTTGTTCTGCAAGCGAAGGGCTTCCTTGGCGGGGAACCAACCGGGCCAGATCTCCACTGGGACGTCAGGCACCCCTCTATATTAACCTCTCCACTGACCCAGGGAGATTGTTTTTTTTTTTTTTTGTAGTTTTTAATTTTATTATGTTATGTTAGTCTAGTCACCATACAATACATCATTAGTTTTTGAGGTAGTGATCCACGATCCATTGTTTTCGTATAACACCCAGTGCTCCATTCAGTACGTGCCCTCCTTAATACCCATCACCGGGCTAACCAATCCCCCCTCCCCCCTCCCCTCTAAAACCCTGTTTGTTTCTCAGGTCCATAGTCTCTCATGGTTCATCTCTCCCTCCAATTCCCCCTGCCCATTTTTCCCTTCCTTCTCCTAATGTCCTCCAAGTTATTCCTTATGTTCCACAAATAAGTGAAACCATATGATAATTGACTTTCTCTGCTTGACTTATTTCACTTAGCATAATCTCCTCCAGTCCCATCCATGTTGATGTAAAAGTTGGGTATTCGTCTTTTCTGATGGCTGAGTAATATTCCATTGTATATATGGACCACATCTTCTTTATCCATTCATCTGTTGAAGGGCATCTCGGCTCTTTCTACAGTTTGGCTATTGTGGACATTGCTGCTATGAACATTGGGGTGCATATGGCCCTTCTTTTCACTACATCTGTGTCTTTGGGGGAAATACCCAGTAGTGCAATTGCTGTGACCCAGGGAGATTGGAGAAGGGGTCCTGGCGAGACTTGTGGCCCAGCCCAGGCAGAACCGATTCGGCCAAGGGGCAGCGTGCCGTAGGGGCAGGAGTACTGCCCAAGGAGTCAAGTCTCCTGAGTTCTAGTCCAGACTCTCACTGGCACACAGTGTGGCCTCAGGCCCCGCCCCACCCTTCGCCGCGAGGTGACTGGAGTCCATGATTTCTAAGCATCAGCTACCAGAGCTTATGACTCAGGGACCAGACCAAAGTAGACGCGGTCCTCTTTCCCCCCCAAGCTGGGGGTGGGGGGAGATGGATGGGGACCGGATGCCTGGGGGGGGGGGCGGGGGCGGAGCTGAACGAAGGACCAGGGACCTGCAGGGTTTGGGCAGGGTCCTGAGAAGGCGGGGCCGGGGAGGCGGGTTCAGGCATGCCAGTCTCTGACTGGCTGTGCTGCCCATCGCTCCGCCCCGTGTGCTATAAGACGCACCCGCCGCTCGCGCGGGGGCTGCCGCTGCATCGCTCTCGCGTGCGCGGCGTCGGTCCTCCCCTCGCGGGGGCAGCTGGCCACACCCGCGTACAGACAGCTGCGGGCCGCCGGGGGGCGGGGGATGCCGGGCTGCCGCATCAGCGCCTGCGGCCCGGGGGCCCAGGAAGGGACCGCGGAACCGGGGTCCCCGCCGCCGCCGCCCCGGGAGCTCCTGTCGTCCCCTCAGCCCCCGCCCCCGACTCCGACCTTGACTCCGACCCCGGCTCAGGTCTCGCCGCCGGCCTACGCGGCCCCGGCGTGGGTGGGCTCGGCGGAGGGGCAGGAGCTGCAGCGCTGGCGCCAGGGCGCTAACGGAG